CTGCCGCCTGACATGCGGCCTCCTGGGACAGCGGTATTTCGAATGTCCAGACAAAGGGCTCTCCCAGACAGAACGTGGGGAGCGCCTGACAGCTGTCGGGAAGCCCAGCCTGCGTGAAGAGGCGCCCACGATTCACTGCTCCCGCCTCCCAGCCCACAGGGAGCTTTTTGCTGGTGCTGCCGAGGCGCTGGGGACTATTCCTCTACCTAGAGCTTATCTTTGCCACCAACGGTCAGAGTGACTGATTCTTCTTCTGACTAGCCTTGAGTCTGCTACTTGAGGATGAGAAATCACTTGGAGAGAGGCTGAGGGTTTTCTGACGAGTGTGACACCGCGGGCCAGACGCCTGCCTCCCCACCCTGCTCTTTGTTCTTTCTGCCTGTCTCTAACTGCTCCCCTCCCCCGTGCACTCACACACACGCACATGCACTCTTCTATGCACACACATGCACACGCATGCACATGCACACACATATGCACACGTGCACACACATGCACACATGCACGCCATCCAAAAGAGCTCCTGTGAGCACCCGCAGCTCTGCCACCCTGCACAGGCCTGTGGCTGCGCCCGTCCTCCCTCCCCCGCTTGGTGGCAGTGTGGAATCACAGATCTGCCGTCACCCGCCAGGCAGCCCCAGGCTGTGTCTATGTTCATCCGTCTCAGCCCACACTTCATGGAGGGCTCTGAAAAAAATACATGTGCCAGATTTTTGGTCACGCCTCAATGCAGCACCTAATAAATCCCGCTCTGTCCTACATCAAACCATTTCCCTCCTACCGCACGAGTCAGGCTCTGCAGTCTACACAATAGGTCCATTCCTGAGATGCTGCGGGAGTTAAATCAGGGGCGGTGTTTCTGACTTCATGCCCCATTGCTTAGACCCGATCAAATTTGCTTTAAAACGGTCATAATCACATAAGGGAATGTTAACCAGGTACAAATAAAGGCTACGTGTGCCTTCGCTGAGTTTAGCATCGACATGATCCCCCGGGTGAAGCCAAGGGGAGGGGCGACCATGTGGTAGCAGATCTCCCTCTAATTTCGCGTGAGACATGAATGTGAAGGTCGGAGGTGTTTCCGTCCAACCTCCTCGGCTGCACGGTGGGGAGACCGAGGCCCAGACAGGTGCAGGGTGTGCGGGAGCAGAACGACCGAAAGGCAGATGCGAACGCTTCCACCCACCGCAGACCTGCAGAGCGGGGGCTCCCGGGGCCAAAGCATCGCCGCGCAGAGGGGTCCATCGCGCGGCTGCTGAAGCGCCTCCCTCGGCCACGCCTCCCCCAGGTCCCCACCTGACCACGTGCTGTGCCATTTCCCTTACTCGCCCGGACCGTGCGCTGCACAGGAGCGACGTGATGGGCGAGGCCGTCCCGTGACCTGCCTGGAAGAGCTCCAAGACGTGTTGTCAACGGAAAAGGCAAGGCGAGAAGTGATGCCCACCTGTGACCCATTCCACGGCTATTTTTAAAATAATCACACATATTTGTGTATATGTGAGTGTGTGCGTGCTTTTTTTTAAGGTCTGGAAAGACTAACCCCCAACTGGAGCAAAGCCGATTGAGGAGAAGGGGGTGAAGCGTTTTTACTTCTCGTCCTGCATATCTATGTGTCATCTTGAATGTATCACGATCAAAATATATCTGCGTGTTCCCTGCGTGGTAACAAGCAACACACCTTCCTGTCTGGCGTCCTGTCCTCTCAAGGCTACTCTAAGCAAACTGTGTGTTCGTGGGTAACGGTGGGCGAGGGCTGGGCCAGGAGGGAGACCCCAGCCTCAGGGACGTGTGAGGACTTACCCGCCTGCCACTGAGATGACCTGCTCAGCAACAGCCGTCCCCACACACGGCGTCCCCCACGCACGGCGGCGTCCCTGACACGTGAAGCTCCAGTTACCGGGGGAGCTGGCACGCTGGTCTGCCGCCGTCAGAAACAGAGACTTAAGAACTGTCTGCGTAGGACATGAATGAGTGGGTGAGCGGGAAGACGGGTGAGTTCGTGGAGGGAGTAACCTGTGAGCACCAGAGGATACAAGCAGGAGTAGGAAGAATCAGACTCTCATAGACACAGTCTGGCAGATGAAGTGAAAACCTGGCAGCGTCCTCCTGGTCCCCTCTGATGGCGAGGCAGTGGCCCGCGCCGCTCTGGCTGTCTGTCCTCCACCTGAGTCTGTCTTCTGCTCCACAGAGACAAAGAACTCCTCTTTCCAACCAAACCGGGCACCTCTCGGATCCAAGATACCTGAATAAACTTGTTTGCTATGACCTTCCAATGAGGTGGATAATTAAATGCATGGAAATACCAAGAAATTCCTGTCCAGACCTGGGAAGAATCTGAGATTTTTCTCAACTTACAGCCCAGTCTCATGGATGCTGGCAAAAGACATGAGACTCCCAGGTGAGAGACAAAGGACTTTATTACTCGCAGCAATCGCAGTGGCCAGAGCAGGGGCGTTTCTGCTCCAGTCTCCTGAGCCCCCGCCCAGCAGGGTTTTGTGAAGAGGAGCAGACAGCACCGGCACACGCCGTGGGTCAGTTACAGGGAGGACCCTTCAGCCTGGGGAACCCGAATCTTCCCCCACAGGTAGAATGCACGCCAGCCCTCTACCCCGGAGGGAGATGTCACCTTCACTAACCGGCAGTAACCATGCCTGCCATTGCCCCAGAATGGGACACTCTCTGTTATCCTCTAAGACTGTGAGCAAACCTTTTCTCCAGGGGGGATCACCGGGGCAGGGAGCTGCTATCTTTATCTTCCAAGGCAGTTCCTTCTACAAAAAAAGGACAGCCAGGGCCTCCCTCTCAAGACACACGGAAACCACAATACCCATCGGGGCTGCACGTGCATGGATGTGTGTTTTCTTTGAAAAGTGAAGGTATTTATTAGGGATTCTGAAATACAAAAAGAAGAAGAACAACTGTGGGTTACTGTGCAGGCAGATTCTCAAATGGCTCCCGGGGTCCCTGCCCCTGGCATTCACCCTGGTGTAGGCTGGACCAGGTGACTCGCTGCTCGTGGACAGAACACCGCAAGGCGATGCATGTTACCTCCCAGGTCCAGCTATGGGAGGCGCTGACTTCTCTCCCTGGCTTCTTCCCTGCTGCTCTGACGAAGCCACGTCATGCTGTGAGCTGCCCACAGAGAGGCCCAGGTGACAAGGTACCAAGGGCAGCTCTGACTAATATAACTACTGAAGAAACTAAGAGAACAAATGGGCCAGATGCGGTGGCTCGTATCTGTAATCCCAGCACTTTGGGAGGCCAAGGCAGGAGGACCAGTTGAGGTCAGGAGTTCAAGGCCAGCCTGAACAAGAGCGAGACCCCATCTCTACTGTTAAAGTTTATTAAGTATGAAATGTCTGATTTCCTTAAGTATAAGTTTGACAGTTGATCTCTCTGACATTTCATCTTGACACTTCTTGTTTTATTTTTATTGTGAAGGTACATTCTCAGTCTTTCAAACGCATGCTTTGGCTTCTGATTATCTTTCAAATTTTTTTTCGAGCAATTTTTATGGAACCATGGATAAGTCAAAAATTCATGTTATTTTCGAGTATCAGTTCTGTCATGGAACCAATGCAGCTCAGACAGCTTGAAATACCAATGAAGTGTTTGGGAAGGATGTGGCTAATGAATGCACAATATGTGGATGGTTTGAGAAGTTCCATTCTGGAGATTTTACTCTTGAAAATGAGCCACGGGAACGACCTGAGACCAAGGTGGATAATGATGAGCTGAAAGCTGTAGTGGAAGCAAATCCATCTCAACCTGTGTGTGAATTAGCAGCAAGGTTTGACGCTACTCTTCCAATAATATTGGACCATTTGAAACAAATCAGCAAGGTGAGGAAGCTGGATAGACGGGTTCTGCAAGAATTAAATGAGCATCAGAAGAGAAATCATCTTGAAGCTTGCTTTTCTTTGCTGTCACGACATAAAGGCAAACCATTTCTACACTGTATTGTGATATGTGATGAAAAATGGATTCTTTTTGACAATCACAGATATTCGGCACAATGGTTGGATAAAGATGAAGTGCCAAACACAGTCCAAAACCAAATATTCATCAAAAAAAGCCGATGATGTCTGTTTGGTGGTTCGGTGCTGGTATTATCCACTGCAGCTTCATGAAACCCGGTCAATGGATCACAGTGGATGTCTGCTGCAGCCAATTTGATAAAATGATGAGGATGCTTGCAACTAAGCAGCCAAGATTGGTCAACAGAGACGGGCTGATCCTCTTGCAAGACAACGCTCAACCGCATGTCACACAAACAACGCTGCTCAAACTACAGAGGCTGGACTTGGAAGCTCTCTGTCATCCACCGTATTCACCAGACCTTGCACGAACTGACTCCCACGTCTTCCAGGTTTTGGACGACTTCTTGCAAGGAAAAATATTCAGTTCTCAACGAGCTGTGGAAAATGCCTTTTGCAATTTCTTCCCCCTTTGTTTTCAGGGCTTTTTTGGGGTTGGCTTGACCAGGTTCGTTTAGGTTGGGGCACTTTTTTCATTGTTTTGGTTGCTTTTTTTTTTTATTTTTGTTGTTTTTGTTGGAGATATAATAAACTACACTTTTGATTTGAAATCGGACATTTCATATTTAATGACCAATAACAATAGAAAAAATTAGGCCAGGGCATGATGGCTCACGCTTGTAATCCTAGCACTCTGGGGGTCAGAGACGGGAGGATCACTTGAGGTCAAGAGTTCGAGACCAGCCTGAGCAAGAGTGAGACCCTGTCTCTACTAAAAATAGAAAAATTAGCTGGGCATCACGGCATGTGTCTGTAGTCTCAGCTACTGGGGAGGCTGAGGCAGGAGGATCACTTGAGCCCAGGAGTCTGAGGTTGCTGTGAGCTACGATGATGTCACCGCACCCCAGCCCAGGTGAGCAAGTAAAACGCTGCCTCAAAAAAAAAAAAAACAGAACAAATGATACCACACATTTAGTAGTAAAGTCTGAAGAATTTTTATTGTTCTTGTTTTGGAATCTGGATTTGAAGCAAAATTATTTCTACTTGTATAAAAATGAAAAGGAACCTATATGTTAACATAATTTACAGAAACTCTGGTCAAAGTTAGGTGGGTTCTTTTCCATACAGAAATGAAAAGAAAGGCAGTAACTCAAGGCCCTGCTACCACTGTTTGTACTTAACTATTGCGATATCTAAAGATTTATTTTATAGTTTGGACAAAGGCAAGAGCTTTATGGGAAAGCAATTCTGAGTAACAATAATCACATAATGAACATTTTGGCAACAATACAGGTAATAAAACTGGGCTTCATCAGAAACAGCACCCCGGAAACGCTTCCTTCTTCCTCTTAAGCACAGGCCGCTCTCTGCGGCTCAGACAGGGACCCTTTACTGGGTGAGCCTCTGCGCCCTGGGAAGCGACGCGGTTAGGAGCTGGCAGCCTCCTGCGGAGGGACAGCCACGGACCTGCCATCGCCAGCAGGACCGGGTGGCGCCCAGGGCCGCTCACACGCTCTCCTTGTCGAACTCGCACATGAAGTACATGGTGACGTGGCAGGCCACGTCGTTCCAGCCGCCCGAGGCCACCATCTCCACGCAGTCCTCCTCGTCGTAGGCGTTGTTGGGCTCGCCGCTGCGCCACTTGTTGAAGGTCTGCATGGGCGAGCGGTCCGAGTACACGAAGGCGCCCTCCCTCTCCAGGTCGTTGATGCCGATGAAGACGCGCGCCAGGCCGGCCTGCGCCACGTAGGCGGCCATGAGGCCGTTGGCGGCCTCGTCCTTGGGCATGCCCAGGGTGCCGCCGCGGCCCTGGCAGGACAGCTGCGCGTCCGCGTACCGCTTCTCCTCCTTCACCAGCAGGTAGATCTTGCTGTCGGTCTCGCGCACGCCGGCGACAGCTGCGGGGGAGGGCAGTGCTGGAAAGTGAGCACCTGCGTTTCTGCAACAAACTCGGGGGCCCCCGCCCGGCGGCAGAGTGCGGGGGCAGGCTGGGGCCTGGGGCGGGAGGCGGAGGCGAGGGGAGGGCGTGGGGACAACGTACCGTTCTTGATGAACTTCAGCTCGGTGGTCAGCTGGGAGACCTGGTTGTCCATCTCCCCGATGGCCTTGCGCAGCTGGCTGCACTCGCACGGGATGCCTGCGGGCACAGGCCCGGGGGTCAGAGGCCACACGAGGACCCCCGCACCGTACAGTCGATTTGACAAACACACCCCACAGGCCTTTGCGATAAAGTTTTTGCACTTTATCCTACAGGCAGGAGAAGGACTGTATGTAATAGAAGGGCAGGAGCTCAGGGTGATGCTCTCCAACCTCACTCCGGCTGCAGGGGCGAGGGCGCAGGGGCGAGGGCGCCGAGGGGGCAGGGAGAGAGGCCGGAACATTTGGGGAAAGGGGGCAGCATCCGTGGCACCCAGTGGTGGCTGTGGGGGGGGGGCGGCCAGAGGAGCTGTCGGAGACACCCGCCTCCGGTGCTGGGCGCCGGGGAGGCCGTGCGTCACTGGCTGAGCGTGGGGAGGGAACCTGCCGAGCCCCAGGTGGACGGTCAGGGTGGGCAGTTGGGGCATCGTGGGCACGTCCTCGTGGGCGTGACCGTGGAATCTTCAGGGAGGGAGCTCAGAGCAGTGCCCACACTGGGACCACCTAGGGGCCAGGGGCTGCCAGGGTCCAATGGAGGACGGCTGAGTGCTCAGAGTCCAGGGACAGGAGGGGAAACTGAGGCCCAGGGAAAGAACTCCCAGGAGATCCAGATGTGGAGCTGCTAGAGGGGCCCAGAGTGGGGAGGGCTGGGGCTTTCAAACTGCTTGGCTTTGCTTGGAAATAAGAAACACTGAGTGTGTTTAAATGAGGCTGGAAGGGAGCTGGTAGGAGGGGACATCGAGATAAAGATGGCGCCATCCTTCCACACCCGAGGGAACACAGCAAGTGTCCCGGTGAGGCGGGAGGGGAGGATCAGAGCGGTGAGAAGCCATCTCCTCTGCTGAGATAATGGTTCGTATTTCTTGGGCCTTTCTAGGTGGAGATGTCACTATAAACGCTTTGCATACACGAGCCCGGTCAGCTCACACACCCAGACACACGCCGCGGTCACCCTGCTGTCACTGAGCACATGGAGACCCATAGTTGTCCTAGCCAGCGTGACAGAGCCTGGAGAAGCCAGGCTTTGAATCCAGGCAGGCAGTCTGGCCCATTCTGGCTCTAATAGCTCGTGTCTGTGCCCCCGGCTGGACAGGAAGCCCCTCTGGCACCTCAGTGCCCCCAGCCGAGCACCCAGAACGCACAGTGCTGCACAGGTCCCTGTGGGCTGAGTGACAGACAGAATCAAAGTCAACCACCCAGCTCCGCCGACCGTTCCTCTGTGCTTCTTCCCTGGTCCTTTGGGTAGGACCCTGTCTTCCCCCTGTGGGGAGCGGCACCTGCTCCATGGTGGCGCTGGGGGCTCTGCCTCTGCCCTGCCAGCTGCCGCCTTTCCATGGGCTGGAGCCGGGTCTGCCCCACTGCCCCTCCTCCATCACCCTGCCCGACCCCATCGTGCCCAGTCTTCAGCCCACCCCAGGTCCGAGCGCGCCCACAGAGGCCGATGCGTCTCCGTAGAGCCCGAACTCCTCCCTGATTCTCACACACAGGCTCTGGGTTCCCAACGGGACATTTGAAACTCGATCTTTGCTGCCGTTTGTTTTGGGTTCTGTTGCTTTTTTTCATGGAACTTTTATGTGAGATAAATTTTATCTTCAAGCTCACTGAGGTTCGGGTAAGGGAGGTTTTCTGGAGACACCCCTCCAAGGGCAGCCGGTGGGTTAGTTTCCTCATTCTCCTTCCGAACTTTCTGAGCAAATGGGCCTGCCGGGGCCGCTCGCCTGGCGGTGCAGACTCAGCCAGGGGCGTTCTCTCCCCTCGCAGGGCCCCTCACCGGCCGCCGCATCCTCTCGTCTCCCGAGACTTTGACCAAGTCGCTGGGGTTTGCTGGTGCCTGGAGGTGGCCCCAAGAGCAGGGCGCTCGGTCACCTGCAGTGACGGCGGATTTCAGATGCGCTGGTACAAAGTCCCAGGGCAAGGACGCTCTTACGCAGTCACTTCTTACCCCTGCGGTGTTTGAGGAGCTTCCTAAACAGGGAGCTTTATTCAGAAATCCACGGTCTCTCCTTTCTCCTAGTGGACCAGGTCTTTCTCGGAGACGACCTTCTGCGTGGCGCTACAACGCCGAGTGAGCGCCGACGGAGGTACACACGTCTCGGGGAGAAAGACCTATGTCAGCAGGTGGATGCCAGGTGTCCCCACGGACACACGTTGCCCTGTGGAAGGGACAGTCACCAGCCAAGCCCGGGGAACCTCCTGGATGCATCGATTGTCTCCCTGGGCCCTGCCTGGCGAGCTTATTGGTTAGAGACGGAGGGGAAGGTTGGAGCCTGACTGAAAGAACATTCTAGTCACCCAAACATTGCATCTTCCACCCAAACCTCGTATCTCTTAAGCATCTTTTGGAGTCAACATTTAATGGCCAAAAAGGACTGGAGAGCACAGAACAGTTAGGATGTGGTTTGGGTGACCTAGCGGAAAAGTGGGGAAGGTGGGGGAGGGGTAAGAAGAGGGACAGTCTGTGGGGGCTGCAGTGACACCTGCCTGCAGGGGTCTGAGCAGGAGAAGGACGATCAGAGGACACAGAGGACACAGCCCAACACTGTGATCAGAGGATGGGAGTGCAGTGTGGGCTGTGCAGTGGGGGTGGGCTGCAGCGTGGGCTGTGTGGGGGATGGGAGTCAGTGTGGGGAGTGCATGGAGGGTGGGGTGGGGGTGTGGGGTGTGCAGGGTGAGCTCCAGGGAGGGGGGGTCACTGCCCTGCGGGGAAAGCAGAGGAGCCCCGGAGGGAGCTTTGGGAAGGAGAACGGAGAGAGACGGGCAGGAAGGCAGGCTGAGGGAATGCGAGGTCCCAGGTCCCGGTCACTCGGCATCGGTAGCTGAGCCAAGTCCACTGGAGCTGGACCCAGAGGGCCCTGGTGACCTTGGAGGTCTCGGTGGAAGGTCATGGGAGAGCAGCTGCAGGACGTCAGGAAAGAGGCAAAAATCCATCAAGTACAGGACGGGGGTCCTCGTGCCCGGGGAGCGTTAAGAAACAAGGCTGCTGGCGTTAGGGCGGGTGTGGCCGAGCCTGATTCCGGCACAGATGTCCCCACACGGGGTGGGCAGGCAGGCCACACTCCTGGGAAGGTCACTCAAACATTCCACTAGAAGGAAATCAAATACTGAAACACCCACGTGAGGGTGCGATTGTCAGTCGTGTGTACCCTGCTTTCCAGCCCATTGTAGTTTTATTTAATGGTTTACATTTTTTCAAGAGCACAATTTTTAATACATTTTATTAAAAATCCTTGGACCCTTTCTGCCATACCTGGTTCTCCATTAGGGCCAGGGGGTCCTATGTCACCAGTATCTCCTTTCTCACCTGAAAATGAAAAGCAAGGTCAGAGTCACCAAGCAGAGGTGGACACGTCTCATGAGTTCTAAAATATCAAGCTTTAAAATGTTATTGCTTTTTGCATAATGCCCTGGGATTTCTCCTAGGCCCTGTTTGTGCTGGGAAGCACAGGGGCTCTATTCCATAGATAACTAATTCTTCCCACTCTATTCATGTCATGTGTGCCACATACACATCGTGGGGTTTTAGGGATTATCAGACGATCATTCTTTAAGACAATTCTGGAAAATCCAAGATATTTGACAGAACGCCTTGTAGATGTCATCTCGTGAGTCCCTAACCCCATGAGGAAGGGGCAATGACTTCTGACGCCAGCTCCCCGCACGTTCCCCGGACAGCAGGAAGTCCAGACGGGACGTGCACCGGCAGAGCGAGGGTGGACCTTGGCGATGAGGCGTCGGCAGAACTTACGGCCTCGAGCTGCAGTCAAAGTCCTTCTTGGCCCCTCTTGAGGCAGCATCGTGTCCTCGAACGGCCCAGACCGAGGACCCATGGCTCCGTCCTGGCCCGTCGGATGCAACAAGCCACTTAACCACGGTGCCCTCAACTTCTCTCAGCTTGGGGGTTGAACAAAATGATGGCAACAAAGTTTTCTAGCTGCTTGAAAACTAGACAAGGAGTGTTCATGTTAAGTCTCATGAATATTCCTGAAGCACTATCTTTCTTCTCGCGGAGAGAACCTAAACGTGTCTGCAAAGGAGCCGCGACTGCCGCAGCTGTGGGTTCAGGTCCCCTGGCATGGGAGGTAGGGAGCTCGGCAGTCGCCGCCCGCCTGGCTGCTCCGTGCTCCTTACCAACACCTGGGCCTGGAAGGTGGAAGTGCAGCTGGACAAGGACCCCGGGTGGCAATCTCAGGGACGAAGCAAATCGAACAAGCAAAGCCAAGCAGGGGCCTGGCGAGCTGTCCTTGGTGAGACGCTGAGGTTGGTCCGGCACACGCGGCGCGTTGCAGTTCACACCCAACTGCGCGGCAGCGCCGGCTGCAGCACCACGCACGGGCAGAAACAAGATGCGGGACAGACAGAATGAGGTTCGTCCGTGCGGTGGCAAAGCGCTCAGCCGCAAGGAGGGAGGGGCTCTGACACGCTGCAAGAGCTGACCTTGAAAACGTCGCGCTACGTGAAATAAGCCGAACACAAAAGGGTCGATGCTGTTAGGATTCCACTTGTGTGAAACATCTAGAAAAGGTAAACTCATAGAGCCAAAAAGCAGATTCGAGGCTACCAGGGCTGGGGGAAGGAGGAGGTTATTGCTTCCTGGGTAAGGAGCTTCTCTTTGCAGCGATGAGAAAGTTTTGGAACAGATGGCGGTGATGGCTGTACAACATTGCAAATACGCTTAATGCCACTGCACTGTACACTTAAAATAGTTTAAATGTGAGTTTTGTGTCATAAATGTTTACCACAATTTCACTGAGGTTTGTTAAAACATCTACATGCCTCCTGACAGCACGCCTGTCTGTGTGCCCTCTGCCGAGTCGGGCGCCGTAGGGCAGGAGATGCGCAGACGAGCTGGTCACCCCTCCACCACCATGCTGGTCAAGGGCCCTTCTACCAGGGACAGGCGGGGCTGGAGCAGGGAAGGTCTGTGGCCCCAGATGTGGCCTCACAGTGCCTGGGTTGACCCGCTCCAAGGCAGAGGTGTGAGCTACGAGAAGCCTGCACCAGGACTGGGAAGCCCAGCCAGACCCTCCCTGCCTCCGGGTCTCAGGGCAGCTCCATGCCAACCACGGACCTTCCCGGCTCAGTGCAGTGCCCACATTGCTGGCACCATGGCAGGACCTGAGGGGGGGACTTCCGTGAGGTCACATGTGCAGAGCTCAGGGACTGCCGGCTCCTTGCCCCCGGAGTCCAGCACAGGCAGGGAACAAACCCGGCGCTCAGAGAACTCGCGTTGACTGGATGAGGAGGGGGCCCTGCGAGCAGTGTGATTCTGAGCAACGCTTAACTGTCCCGGGCCTCGCTCTCCTCGTCACAGAGAGAATGTGACCCGATCTGCCCTCCTCACCAACGTGGTGCGAGTGGAACGCAGCAGAGATGGTGTGATTTGAAACTGCAGGTATTACCTGAGCCCAGGTGTCACCAGAGCTGCCACTCCCACACCTGCTGCTGCCACCTGTGCCCTGTTCTCTCTGAGGGCCATCCCATCATCTCAGAAAGCCAAAAAACACACGCTGGGTGGAGAGACATGTTGCTTCCCAACATGGTCCACCAGTTACTTAAAAGAGGCTCTGAGGGTTTTAACAAACTCATTAAGGGAGTTGTAGCTGAAAAGTCAAGGTCTGGCCGAGCACACTTGCTCCGGCCCCTCCCTCCTGGGGCGCTGTGTAAACCCTGCCGTGCGGGGAGCCCCTCTCCCCATCCCAGTGGGCACAGAACTAGCAACTCGCAGACACTCCTGAAGCGCAGGCACTGCAGCAGAATCGACCAAGCATAACGCACACAAATAAACAAGACACAGGGAGAAGGTTCAGTCCCTGATCCATCTCAGCGTGTCCGGAATCGGGCTGGGAGCCTGGGAGGGGGTTGAGGCGAGAACCGCATCACAAATACCTTTCGAGCCAATGGGACCAATCTTTCCATGGCGACCCACACTGCCTTTCTGTCCTTTGTCCCCCATGTCTCCTGCAGAAAACAACAAGATCAAGGTTGGTTGGTGCGCAGGTGATGCAGCGGCCTCCTCCTCAACAACACACGCACACAGGTGATCCGACATACA